AGAAGGAGAAGGAGAAGGAGGAGGAGAAGGGAGGAGGAGGAGGAGGAGGACGGGTGGCCTAAGCCCTTCGGAGAAACCCTCCACACAAAGGGGGGGCAACAACTAAGCTCGGCCAGGAGAGCCAGGCCAGGCAAACTGGAAGGCCCAATGACTTTTTCAACACCGCGTCCGCGGAAGTCCCGACCCTTTCCCCAGGACCAGTTTCTCATTCTGAACTGTTTCTTGATAGTCCCAGGGGCTCAGCGAAGGCCCCCAGGGGCCGAAAATAGCGAAAAACCTCCCGTCCTGATTTTTCTAGCAATGCGACCATGTCTGGGTTTCGCCTGGCCGCGTCTTGCCCTTGCTGTGGGCGAGGGGGGGCGAGGAGGAGACGCGACTTGTGAGCCTCGGGAGCAGGGGCGGGGCCGCAGCAGAGGACGAGCAGCCTTGGGAGGGGGGCTGGAAGGTGGAGGAGGGAGGGAAAGCAGCAGGAAGAGGAGAGAGGCATGCGGGGGGGGGGGGCGGGAACCCAGACCCCCTCGCGCTGTGAACAAACTCGCGACGGGAGGTTTTTCATCATTTTCGGCCCCTGGGGGCCCTCACGGGGCCCCAGGAGCGTCAAAAAACGACTCAGGAGGAAACACCGGTCCCGGGCAAGGGGTGCCGGCCTCTGGGGGTCGACGCTGCGACAGAAGTCACGACGTCGGGGGTCTGGGGAGGAAGGGGCGGAGGCAGAAGGAGGAGCACGACAGCACCGAGGACGTCCGTGGCAGCCCGCAGCGGCAACCGCGATCCTCGTCGCCGCACTCGCCCTCCAGGTCCACTCCGCCCTCCTCGGGGCTGCAGGGGCGGAACTCGTCCTCGAGCGTCCTCGGCGGACGGACGGGCGGGAGGAGAAAAGGAGAGCGAAGAAGGAGAGGGAGGATAGCAAGCAGCCACAGAAAGGAGAGAGAGAGAGAGAGAGAGAAAGAGAAAAAGAGAGAGAGAGAGAGAGAGAGAAAGAAAGAAAGAAAGAAAGAAAGAAAGAGAGAGAGAGAGAGAGAGAGCGAATGAGGACAGAGAGGATGGTAAGCAGCGGGATGAGGGGGTCAGGCGTGCAGCTCCCCAGTCTCGGCACGGGCAGGGAGCCGCACTTGTCCTGTGCCCCCTCGTAGCTCTCCTTCATTCATGCCATCCCCGACGCGGCAATCGGGGCGTCCTGAAGCTGAACAGCTCCGCGTACTGAGCGTTCTGGCAGAAACGCTTGATGTACTCCGGCGGTATGGTCCTCCCAGCAGGTGCAGCGCGGCAAGCGTACTTCATTTCTAATCGTGCTCCTTTCTAATTGTGCTCGTTTCTATGTGTTTCCTGGCCCCCCAGTGCCCAGGAGGAGGCCCAGGGTAGAGCAATTAGAACTGAGAGGACCTTGGCCCCCCAGAAAGCCAAAGACCTGTCGAAGAAGCAGACATGAGCCATGTGCAACGACTCGCAGGCTAACACTCCTCCGCCGCGGCGCGGCAGCTGCGGTCTGCACGCGTGCTCGCGTTGGCCGGCAGCGGGCGAGCTGATTTCAAGGGGCCCAAGAACACACAAATAGATACACACAAATAAAATGATTCCCCATATTTTTCCATATTTTCTGGGTTTTTGTCTTCCCGCCCAATTCCCATATTTTCCCACATTTTCCTGGGAGTCGACGATGAATTGTGTTTGTGTTTTTTTTCCCTCCTGATGATCGTCCGGCCGCAGGAGGGGAGAGCGGAGGAACAGACACAACGGCACGAGCACAAACTTGCGGCGCTCCGCGCGGAGCGCGCCGGGGGCGGCGTGAAGGCCAGTGGGGGCCAGGCCAGAAGAGGGCGGAGGCGAAGGGGGGCCGACGAGGGGAGCCTCCGGGGAGAGAGGGCGCGTGGAGAAGCCATCGTGAGAGGCTCCTGCGATCGAGCCAGGATCGAGGATCCCAGGATCGAGGATCGAGGATCCCAGGATCGGGGATCCCAGCATCGAGGATCCCAGCATCGAGGATCCCAGGCTCGAGGATGGAGGATGGAGGATGGAGGATCGAGGGTCGAGGCTCGGGGATCGAGGATCGGGGTTCGAGAGGCTGCCCAGAATTGACAGGAGAAGGCGGAGGATAGGACGGATGAGGTGGCCTCGACGAAAACAATACAGTCGGACCTAGGACATAAGAACATCCTTCAAGAACATGAGACCCTCCACTGGCCAAAGCACCCGAAACATTAAGGTCATTCCAGGGTACCCTCCCCCTGGATGCACAAGAACATCCAGCAAACACGAAAAACATGAGGGTACCCTCCCCGAGCCGACCTCGATCTTATACCTCGGTCCGACTGTACGCATGGAGGGTCGACTGAGCGATGGCCCTGTGCTGCCCTGGATGCCAGAGACATGTGCAGGCTCAATCACCACGGTCCAGCGCAAAGGACGAGAACACTTTCGATGGCACACCACAGGGCTGAACCTGAACGGTGTTTTTCGTTGTCGTGTTGTTTTCGTTGTCCCTCGCTTTTGTCTCGAATCC